AGAGAGCCCTGACTGTCACTCACGGCTCCCTGCAGGGATTCCCCTCCCCCCCTTCCCTGTCCGATCCTCCAGCGCTGACTGGAGGAACGGATAGGGAAGGGGGCGGGTACAGCTGGCTCTGCCTCTAGATAGGCAGAGCCAGCTGTCACTCACGCAGCTGGGTGGATTCAGACAGAATTGTCGGGATCCGTTCCGCCTGCGGCCTCTCAGTATATAGAGAGTTGTAGCTCGCGGTATACTGAGCTTTGGGTGACGGGAGGGCGCTAGTTTGTGTTCTCCCGTTACCCTAAGGAGAACTATGGGGAAAAGCTCTGACCCCATAGTTCTCCTTTAAAGTGTATCTAAAACCAAGAACACAAATTTAAGGCCCTAGGGTGACAACGCTCCCCAGCGTTTCCCCTTTTAGAGCGTTTATGACCCAGCAGCACAATCCATCCAGCTATAAGCAGTGCTCTTTCTCCTCACTTACTACTGTCATTTGTTTTTTCATTCTGAACGGTAGCCACGGACACATTGTGCGTATTGGAGGACTGGAGATACATCAGGGGTCCATAAAGAGAACCTGTCATCTCCAAATGCTGTCACATAGGAGCTTGTTATTATAAATTTAAAAAAAAGAAAATATTTTTTTTTTAAAACCAACCTTGCCATCTGATTTGAATGAACATATGCGCGCGTAGGGAATATAGGATTATGTAAAGGGGAAGCAGGGGAAGTTCCAACTAAAAAAAAAAAATGTAAAAAAATAAACAGTGCGCTGCGCTGGGATCTGCGGATCAGCAATCAGCCCTGTCCCTGGAAACACACACACAAGCAGCTGTGCATAGTAGTGGAGCTGCTGGTGTGAATGCAGTCTAAATGGCAGACCGCAGTGGGTACACGGACTGAGGAACCACTCTGTTCGGAATGCGATTTGGACCTCACCCCGAAGAAAATGTTACTCACCGGAACTCCTTGCCCATGGCCACCAATCAACATCTCTCTTCAGTTTGCTCAGGTAAGATTTGAAAATGAGAGCGAGAAGCTGATTGGCTGCAGTGCAAATCTTCCAGATTTTGATAAAGTCCCTTCTCAGTATATTCATTTTTAAATCTGGATCTCACCCTGAAGGAGAGGGATAATCCCCCCCAATACAGGGTTTTGGGTTCAGTGATTTATTGAAATTATCAACACAAATCCAGGGGTCAGTGTGATCAGCATTGTGATTTTTGTTTATAGATCATGCATGTTTGTGATCACATGTTCATATTAATAAACTTGCGCCGTTATAATTGCGCGTTTGGTTTTCCTTTGTCTTGGGAGTCTTTTGGTTTATATTTGAATGTCCTGAATCCATGGCTAGCATGCCCTAGTGCAAGAACTTTCCCCTCTATAGAACTTGATCACTATACTGATTATTTTTTTTGGTCACCAAATACAAGCTGTGTAGTTCTGTTATACAGCACCATCTAATGGAGAAGATGTCTGTCACACAGCACCACTCAATGGAGAGAACGTCAGGCAGATGGCACCATCTGGTGGACAGGACGGCTTACTTACTAACGGCCGTGTGCAATGAAAGCATTCAAATCAACTCTGTTATTTTTTTTGTTTGAAACAATTGAGGTTTTATGTTCATAATATAATTAAATATATAAAAGTTATGCTACAACAGTATCAGCCTCTCTCTATCAGGGTTCTGTGGAGTTCCTCCAGAGGTTGCTAGGGGTATATTGAGAAGAGAGTGCCGATAGATTGACCTCTTGCCTAATTGAGCCATCAACTTCTACACCAAGCCGCCAACCTCAGGGGGTCACTGCCACACCAAGCCGCCAACCTCAGGGGATCACTACTATACCAGAGATGCGTGGAACAGCGGAGTTTCTCCAGAGGTTGCTGGCGTTTCCTTGAGAAGACAGTGCCGATTGGCGGCTCGGTTAGGCAAGATGTCCATCTATCGGCACTGTCTTCAAGGAAACGCCAGCAACCTCTGGAGAAATTCCGGTGTAGAATTAACTCCCTGTGGTTGGCGAATTCTGGTTCACAGCTTTTTACCAGCGGAATCCCTAAGGATATATGGATGGCACCACAGAGAACCTGCCGCTTCCCTCATCATTTTAAACATTTTCTCTGGTAAGCCAGTTACTCACTTTTCCTGCACCGTCAACTACTCCATTCCTTCGTCTGAGCCCTCCGACTTAGTGACTAAGTGTGCCCACACACCTTACGATAATGGTATGATAATCACGGGAAATCCGACGATCGTACGATTATCGTAAGGTATGTGGAAGCCCTGCGACCTCTACTACTGTACGGTCGCACGACTTTTTAACATGCGAACATGTTCGAAAACCCGCCGAGCATCGTACGATGTTCGGCGGGTGTGTGGCATGTTAAGATAAAACCCGGATGACAGTCTCATTGTCACAGGTCGGCTAGAACTATGAGGAGTGAAAAGCACTCACCTCATAGTTCTCCTTTAATTTAAACATGTTCACACTGGAAGTGAGGAGATTAAGGGGAGACATGATTTTGATGTACAAAATGTTTAATGGTATCAGCAATAAACTTTTTACAGTAAACTCCGTAACAAAGACTAGAGGGCACCACCTAAGACTGGTGGAGAAAAGATTTAACCACAAGGGGCGTAGGGGATTCTTTTCAGTTAGAGCGGTTAAAGTCTGGAACTTGCTGCCACAAGAAGTGGTATCAGCTGAGAGTGTTGAATCATTTAAAAAGCATTTAGATACCTTCCTCAGAGACCGCAACATACAGGGGTGCAGGTACACTTATACAAATGCACAATCACACACATACACGCAAAAGGTTGAACTTGATGGACCTGTGTCTTTATTCAACCTCAAATACTATGTAATCATTTGCTGCTTCCAAAACAGTGGGTGAACTTTCACAGGGGAATGTAGTGGCAAGGTGCTCCGCAAAGTCTGTGGGAACCTGTTACTTTGCCCAAAATGACATATGCACTTTGATCTCACGTCTGTCCTATTATAATCACTTCCATCACCAGGTTATAGCGCCGTCATTCCACTTGGTCACCATTTGACTTTTATACCTTTCCAGCGCGTAAAAGAAAAAGATCACAAAAAAAGAGATAAGAGTCACGACATCCACAATCCCTTCTTTATTTCTTTTGGTCACACAAACAAACAAAAATCCTGACATTAGGATCTTTAGAGAGTTTTCCCAACAGGCATAAATGTTTTAAAAAAAAAATATGTACCCCCTGCTGGGCCTTCATGTAGAAAAACACCAAACACGCTCTTTGCAGCGGAGTGGCACCCCCGCTTTCATGATAACACAAAAATAGTTGCGAACTGAATGTGGAACATATTGGAGCTGAAACTTCAGCATTAGAATTCTAACCTTGAGAAACTGGATAGAAAAAAATAGTCTCCTCTCAAGTCCCCACCCCCTCCCACCACCCCATTGACCCTTATCCCAAACCCACCAGAAATTATCCCAATCCCCCGGAGGTAATTCTAGACACGCACCTCTTGCGAACGTCATTCACAGCCAAATTGTTACAGAAGGAAGCGACAACAAAGATGTATGTGAACAAATTTAACGTCCATCAGCCAATCAAAAGCCGACTTCACATGGAAACCAAAACAAAGGCCGTTCCCCAGCCTGACTGTTGTGCGTACTGTAG